AATCCTTAATAAACCTCCGATAATACCCTGCCAACCCAAGGAAACTCCGGATCTCAGAAGGTGACCTTGGCACCTCCCACCTCATCACTGCGTCAACCTTGGCCGGATCGACCAATATCCCCTTCTGGTTAACGAGATGTCCCAGAAACTGGACCTCCCGCAACCAGAAATCGCACTTGGAAAACTTTGCATAAAGTTTCTCCGATCTCAAAACTCCAAGAACCTCCCTCAAATGCTCCTCGTGCTGCTCTCTAGATCTCGAATATACCAGAATATCATCAATGAACACAATCACCGACCGATCCAACATCGGCCGACATACCCTGTTCATGAGGTCCATGAACACAGCCGGGGCATTGGTGAGCCCAAAAGGCATCACCACAAACTCATAATGCCCATAACGCGTCCTGAATGCTGTCTTCTGGACGTCCTCGTCCCGCACTCTCACCTGATGATAGCCCGACCTCAAATCAATCTTGGAGAACCAAGATGCTCCCTGTAACTGATCGAATAAATCGTCGATCCTCGGCAACGGGTAACGGTTCTTGACCGTCAGCTTATTCAATTCCCGGTAATCAATACACATGCGATGCGAGCCATCTTTCTTTTCACAAACAGGATGGGTGCTCCCCACGGCGAGCTACTCGGCCGAATAAACCCCTTCCCCAGCAGCTCCTGAAGCTGCGAGGATAACTCTTGCATCTCTGGAGGCGCAAGGCGATACGGCACCTTAGCGATAGGCGCGGCTCCCGGAACCAAATCGATACCAAACTCCACTTGCCTCACGGGAGGCACACCTGGTAACTCTTCGGGAAAGACATCTGGAAACTCACGCACCACCGGAACTTCATCCACCGAACTCGGTCTCTCGAAGATCACTCGCGTATCCATCACATACGCCACAAAACCCTTACAGCCCTGCTGTAAACACTGCCTCGCCCTAGCAGCCGAACAAAAGGCTGATCCAGAACGTGTACCCTCGCCGTAAACCGAAAGAACTCCCCCACTAGGATCTCGTATAGTCACCAGCTGACGCTCGCAATCGATAACCGCGCCGAATCGGCTCAACCAGTCCATGCCCACTATAACACAGACATCACCCATCGCAATAGGAATCAGGTCGATCGGGAACTCAACCCCAAAAATCTCCAATACACATCCCCGGAGGACCTCCGTGGCACAAATCACTCTGTCGGCGGCTATGGAAACCCGCAGGGGCCGACTCAGTGCCCCACGACTAACACTGATATGCTGACTAAATGTCAAAGATACAAAAGATCGACTCGCACCCGAGTCAAATAACACTAAAGCAGGTACAAATTCACAAGGAAGGTACCTATGCATAGCATAATATAAGCATAATATCTCAACACCATAAATAAATAATGAAAAGGAAGCGTACCAGCCACAACGTCGGGTGCAGCGCGGACCTCTTCCGCAGTCAGCTGAAAGGCTCTCCCCCGAGCCCTCGGTGCCTCGGCCTTCACGGGCCGACTCTCTGTAGCAGTAGCTCTGATGGCGGCAGGAGCAGACCCCTGAGATGCTCCGCGCAGCAGCGGACACTCTGCCTTCCGGTGTCCGGTCTGGTTGCAGTGGAAGCACACTGCAAATCCCTTGGGGCAGTCCTTGGCTATATGCCCCTCCTTGCCACATTTGTAGCAAGACCCTGCTCGACAGACTCCATCGTGACCCTTGCCGCACTTTCCACAAGTGCGGCCCTTCTGGCTCCCGGGTCTGGGATCAGTGGGCTTGGCCCGCTTGGCTGCCGGCTGGGACTGTGCCGGCCGCCGATCCCTCCCTAGAGACTCCGCCTCCTCCCTGGCCTGAGTCTCAAGCTCAATCTCCCTCTTCCGAGCATTTGCCTGAAGCTCGGCAAATGTCCGATACGAGGAGTTCGCAGCGAACTCCCGAATATCCCGTCTCAGAATGCTCAGGTAACGGCTCATACGTGCCTGCTCGGTGGACACGTGCTCAGGGCAGAACATCGCCCTCTCATGAAACATCCTCGTAATCGCTGTAACTGACTCGGTACCCTGCTTGAGGGTCAGAAACTCCTGTGTCAGACGCTCCCTCTCCACCTGAGGAACGTACTCATCTCGGAACATGGTAGTGAACCTCTCCCAGGTCACTGCCGAAAGCTCAGTCGGTGTGAAGTGCGCCGTCACAAACTTCCACCAGTCCTTCGCTCCCAAGCGAAGCTGGTTCAGCGCGAACCGAACCTTCAAATGCTCAGGGGACGAGCAAGTGAAGAAGCATCCCTCCATATCAGATATCCACCTCATAGCTGCCACCGGATCCTGCGTACCATCAAACTCTGGTGGCTTGGTGTTGCTGAACTCCCTAAACAATGTCGCATCACCTCCCTGGGGTCTTGCCGCAGCAATCGCTGCGGTAGCCGCTGCAACCGCAGCCTCAGAAAGAGCGGCATAGCGCTCGTCAAATGTCTCAATCAACGCGGTCTTAATAGACCCGAACATCTCTGGTATCTCAGCTCTGATGACCGCAGCCACCTCCTCATGAATGATCTGTCGAATCTCCTCATCACTAGCTCCGGCATCCTCTGGCATATGACGTGTCCTCACCATGATCAACCTCTGAAATACAACATGCGATAATTAGAATTCACTCGAACACTCTTACATTCGACAATCCACCCCTCCTTGATCTTGGCATCCCAAGATTCTTATTTGGACTGTGTACCGCACCGGTGCTTTCAGTAGTACGGGCCCAATACTACTGTCCGCACCGTCTCAGTACACACCCCAAATCTTCCTCTTCGGATCCCAATCCCCAAGTACTCTATTATACTTAAATCACTTTGAAATAGATCTCACACAAAGCCCTAGCTGCTACCTAATTACTCTCAGCATCTCATAGCAGCTCACCCCTCCCTAGGCTAAGGCATCACAAAACAGGCCACTCTAGTCCTATTAGCAATACCTAGCCTACTCTAGCATGCAAACACATCACATTAATAATAATTATCACATAATATAAAGGTATTTTGGGAATTCACCGTTCGGGCGCTGGCTGATCGTACACACGTTTCTTCCTGGAAAATCTTTTACTCTTAGAAAATTTTGGTTTTATTTTGAAATATCTCTTCAATTCCTCAGTTTGAGTTCAAATACCCCCGAAGGTGTACCCGAATCCCTCAAACCAAGGCTCTGATACCAATTTGTAACACCGAAAATTTCAAACAAATTTTTCAATTTTTATAAAACATAATTCCATCGATATTCATAAAAACAACCATTTTAATTATCCAACAAAACAGTACAAAATCCCAAGATCATAATATCAAGCTCCGAACGTGTGTGTATACGGATCAAGCCGGCGCCTTCCCGCGGTCATCACTAGTACCTGAAACAAATAACATCAACACTGTAAGCACAAGGCTTAGTGAGTTCCCCAAAATACCACATATAACACATATTAGCCACTCTAGGCTATAACTCTGTGGGTCCGTGCACCCAAACTCTGTGAACCCTCAGGTTCTAGCTCTGATAAACATGCACCACATAAATCACATAGAAATCATGCAGTACAACACACAACATACATAGCATACAAATACTCTATCACATAACTCTGGTTACCTACTCAAGGTAAAGTATAGTGAGAAGACTCACCTCGCGTATCTCGGTATCTCACGAATCCTGGAAATCCCTCGTGCTCGATCCTCCGAGCTCTAATCCTCCTATAACATTATATGCTTCTAATTAACACTTTATATCTCTAAGGTTGACTATCAATAAGGAGTCAACACTGGTCAACTCTGGTCAACGGTCAACTCTGACCGGACTCGGCGAGTACCAAGGCGACTCGGCGAGTCTGGGCGTATACACCAATTTCCCTGGAATCCTCCCTTGACACGTCGAGCATTCACTCAACTCGACGAGTTCCACCTGGCATGAGTTGTGGGGCCACCACGACTCAACTCGCCGAGTCTCAAAACAACTCGGCGAGTCCAGTTTGACTCAATCCACCGGTCCATTCTGACTCCCCCTTGACTCACTGAGTCCACCCTCCCCAACTCGGCGAGGCCACTCACTGTGTGGTCGGGCAACATTCATGCTACTCGCCGAGTCTGTTCTTCGGACTCGGCGAGTCCGTGCCATGCACTGACTCAATCTTGCTCTAAAGGTCAGATCCAGTCCATTAATCCATAGATCCAGTCCCTCCAAGCTCATTTAGCACGTAAAGTTACAATCTTGATGCACATACAACCTCTATATGACCATATATGATGTTTTTGACTCATTTACTACAACACAAGGTCATGGACTCCATTGTCATACATAAAGCTTGATGAGTGAGACTCTCTGGACCTCTATGGGTCCAGATCCATAACCTCAACTCAAGGAGGGAACCAATGGGCACCAAATCATCCCATAAATGACCATCATAAGCCCTAAATTGCATAATGCTTCACCAAACAGAAAATAGTCCGAGATCATACCTCTAGAGTGATGATCTAAGCCCAAATCCACGAAATAGCAACCTCCTTTGCTTCCTCTTGCCTAGAGTCTCCTTCTTCTTGCTAAATAACACACACAAGGTCAAGAATTGCTCCTTTCTCTTCACAAATCGCTCAAGAAAACAAGGGTCTCTCACTGAGGGTTGGGTGAGCACAAATGACGGCCATAAGGCCCCTTAAATAGGCCTCAAACCCGGAAATTTAGGGTTTCATTACACAGTGCAGACTCGCCGAGTCCATATCCTGGACTCGCCGAGTCCAGGCGCGCTCCATTGTCCAAATCCGCGTCCCTACTCGGCTAGTCCGAGCTCCAACTCGCCGAGTCCCCCTCACAATACCACAAAATTAAATTTACAAGATACCTGGTAAAAATCCGGATGTTACAAAACTAGCGCTTGTTGATTTTGGAGCCTTGATTTTAGTATCAAAATCCCTCTCTAGAAACTCCACCATTCCCATATGCTTGGCTTTGTCTTTGAAACCAGTGCTTCTTGATTCTCTTGCAACCCAAGATTAATGCCTACAGAGGTCCTTCTTGAAGGTTCCAGACCTTGTTAAGTAAGAACTGCAAGGCTGACAAAGCCTACAAAAGAACAAAAGCAATGTACATGTGGAAAAGTTAACTTAACAACATTTGTAGGTTGATTAGTAGAAGCCAAAAGTCTAGCCCACATCCTATCTGTCAACCTAACAACATTTGTAGCCTCGGTAACACACTACAATTATAACTATAAATAATAAATATTAATTGGGAATAATAATAATATAATTAATGTAAATATAAGAGAGTAAGAGTGCTTAATTACCTGTATTGGAATATACGCATGTCTGTTATTGATAGGTCCAACTGTAAAACCAGAAAACCCTGCCATGGCCCCATGAATTGCACTTTGAGCAAGAAGTGTACAGTAGATGTTATCATATGCATTGCTTGGAATAGCCCATATGATGTATGTTGGATCTGCAGGGGTACAATCGTCATTTCATCTCATTCACCTACTTTACCCATTCATTCAGTCATTTATATATTTAAGTGTACCAATATATTTCATGTTTATGGCCATTCTCTTGACTGTTGCAAAATGGTTTTTAATTTTCTGGATCAACCATTGACCAATATCAATAAGCAGTTTATTTCCAGATGCATCTCTCTCTCTTCAACTGCATTCACACTTTCAGAAACATATTCTTGGTCTACTCCTTCAGCCAACACAATCACCACATGCCCATTCTCTTTAGGTCTATGTTGAATGAACTCAAAAGACCACCTTGCCCTTTTAGATAGAATGGAGACTTTGGAATCAAGCAGCAATCCTGTTTTACAATTACAATAACACCTATTAATTATTATTAACATATCTATTTTATTCTTGATTTACAAATTAATAAAACTAATAATATTACAAATTTGTTATTTAGTTACCACATCTCGCCTTGCCAACATGGCAAACATGGCAATGAATCCTCAAAAAGGTCAAACAAGTTTGGAAGAATAAATGAGAGAAAAAAATTAACTTTTTAACAATTTATTATTTCATCCAGAGATTTGCAAATTCATCAAACATCCTATCCATGAGCTGATGTTGAGAAACATAAAATAGTAAGTACACAAGAATTGTTGCATATCTCCTAATGTAAGAGTTCTTTAAAAAATTAACCTGGATAGTAGTAGTTAAAGCATGACCAATATGTATAATGGGGCTCTATTGACGGCGGTGGTGAACCAGAGAGAAGACGAAGGGTGGTGGGTGCCTGGGTGGTTGTCGAGTAGTAGAGAGAGAGAGAGAGAGAGAGAGAGAGATTTGTAGTTGGTCGTGTATTACCTGCATCAAATTGAAATTGAGGGAATGTTGATTTCATAAGATGACTTTGAAATCGCAATATGTATATGGATGTCCATAAATTTGTTGCTAAAACCTAGCACAATTGTTTCAGCCAACTTTGACTTCCTCGCAGTCGCCACCGTCGACACTATCAGGAACCGACACATCTTGAACCTCGAAACCACCAGATTCATGCTTCCTAGGTTAAGAGAAACATCAAATTGAAGGAAATCAACAATGCCATGAAGTCGAACCGGAGGGTGAAGAAGGTGCGACTTCATCCAAGTTCTCATCGTCTGAATCAATTAGGGATTTAAATCTGGTATTTTTTTTTTCTATTGGGCGTTTTAGGGATGATGTGTTAGGGTTTTTCTAGGATGATGATTTAGGTAGGGATCAAAATCGAATTGGAATATCGGGGCTTTATATGAATGAATGAAATATGAAACATCGATTTGATTTTCATGTTGAATATTTTGTGAATGAATAAGAAGATGATTATGGTGAAAGAGAAGGGTGGAGAGAAAGGTTAGAGAAAAGTAGCAAGTGTGGATCGATTTTATGAGGGTTGACCCACTCATCATTGTTATCTTCCATCCCTAAAGTCACCGACGTGGCGTCTTTTTTCTTTGGAGCCACCGTCGCTGCCATATTCTTTCCCTCAAACCACCATCACTGCGAAGATCAGTGAGATGAGACAACATTTGTTACAGCCATGGGAGATCTCTACGAAATCGCAGGTTGTGTTTTAGGTTAGAGAGAGAGGGGGGGGGGGGGGAAGACGAAGACCCTAGGCTTCTTTCTTCCTAATTGGAAGAGGAGGCGGGGTTTTAATTTTTGAGATTTCATTTCCCGCTTGAAACGCGTGTTTCATTAAAAAAAATATAAAGCGACACACTTACATGACACACATCTTATGAAAGGCATCCTCCGTATTTTTTTTCTTTTCTGACACTAATTTTAGGGCGCGCACAAAACACGCGCCCTCTATCCTTCAAATTTTAGAAGAGATGACATTATTTTTGGGGCACACACTTTTGCGTATCGTAAATCACCGCGTGTCATTGTTTGCGCGTCATTAAAGGGCTTTTTTCTAGTAGTGATATGAAATTTTGTTAGAGTAAGAATTAGATGTTGAGACCTTAATGAAAGTTGTAGACCTTGTCGAGAGGATTCCAAGGATATAAATAATATAAAAAATGAAGCTCGTATGTGAAAGTTATGGGAATATCAAGCTCTTCAAGAAACCGCTTGTGGTGATGATGTGGCAGCACCGAGTGTGCCACGTGGTAAGTCGGCCGCCAGCTCCTCCAAGAGACGCGATGATGTGTCTCAAAAAAAATTATGACACGTGGCACCATGAAATGGTGACATGTGGAAAAGTTCTAAAAGAGATGAGGTGGACGATTATAGATGTAACACATTGCAGAAGCTGAAAGGAGCCAGTAAGACTCAAGGGAGCAACAGACCCAATAGCCATGTGCGGCGCACTCCCCCTAGTAGTATATAAATACCTCCGATTTGCTTCTATTTCACACCAATTTTACTCATATTTCTCTATGGAGTCATTTTCTTTTTGAAGTCTGAATTTTTTGAGGTTCCTTAAAGTATTTATCAAGCTTTTAAGGAGACAAGGAGTTTGGAAAATGGAAGCTTTTGGTTTCAGAGTGGTGTGTAACACCACGACTCTTAGGTGATGATTTTATGGCTTTAATTTTCATAATTGCAAGGTCTAGTTGACGAATTGGATGCCCTGGCTTGTCAAGTAGAAGCGGACTGGGCTATGTGTTTAAGTGACCTACTCGCTGAGTCCTTGATAGGACTCGACGAGTAGGAGCTGGAGGATGAAACCTTAATTTCTGGTGTTTTGCAACCTATTTAAAGGATAATGTCTATTTAAACCAACATATATATATATATATATATATATATATATATATATATATATATATATATATATATATATATATATATATATATATATATATATATATATGAGTATACCATTGAGAGTCAAAAAGACAAAAATCATTTAACGAAACCAAGTGTCCTATAGTATAGTGAGAAGGCTCAACTCAAAGTCAGTCAACCAATCATTACTAACAGTAGAAAAAGAAGGATAGCTTAGTAACTATGTAAAAAAGGGATAAATATTAAGCCTTAGCCTATGACCCCATCCTAAAGTTTGACCAAAAGTCAAACTTGATTAAAAATTCTACAAAATGAAAGAAACCATGCCACACCTAAAGAAAAGCCTTCCACAAATTTGCTAAAAAAAATAGCCGGGACCTTAGGCTTAAAACGGAAGAGTTGAGAAAACCTTAAAAGCGCGTTGAGCTCAAGAAAATCGTGTCGCGCTCATGTCACTTTCATGAGGGTTTTTAACTTAATCTGTTAAGTCACACCCCATCTTCCTAATCTAAACTCCAACATGGTCTAAAGGGATAAAGTTTCCAAATTTATCGATTAAGGCACACCACATTAACCAAGATCTTGAATTCTATACTTTAAATGACCTTAATCACCTCCAAAACTTGCATGACTTGAAGGAAGGGTAAACTTGAACACATTATGAGTTTAAATGGTTCAAACAGCAACCCTAAGTGACAAAAAGGAGTAGGAGTCATTAAAAAAATCCAAGCTCACCTCCAAAATGGGACCAAAAAGGGCATGAAATGAACATTAAGCAACATCTAACAAATGAAAAGGAAATCTTGAAACTTTATAATCAGAAAAGTATATGAGATGCACAAAAACCCTATATCTACATGTGATATTCTTTTCCAAGACACCGAAAGAAACCTTGATCTTGAAGCTTTGTGCATTAAACCTAGAAAAAAAATAAGATTGAAGGTGAAAGAAGGCTCAAATTAAGTTAGAGGTGTGTATGGTTTTGTGGGATATCTTTAGGGAGTGATTGAGGCTAAGAATGAGCTAACCCTAATAGTTAATGGTTCTTAAATATCGTATAAAACCCTAAAAATTCATTCAGCCCAAGGGTTGGGCGCGTCATGCTCTTAATAGGTGCCTCATGCTTATTGCGAATAAATCCAATTTATAGTTTTTTAAAATGATCAAATTCAAAACCAAATTAAACTACCTACATGGAAATGGATGTTACATAAAAGCTAAAATCTTAAAGCTTCTTAAAATGTAATCTTTGGAAAATTTCAAAGAGATTTATAATTTTGGAAACAAATTAGCCGATTAAAACCATTAACTTAAAATCAATAAGTGACATTCGTTTGTTTGAAGCATATTGTTATCATAGTTGAATTATAAGGCAATATAAATCACCATCTTTGATGCGTGTGTATAGTCCCGCTGGGCTGTTCCCACGAACAACCTGCAAAATATTTTATCCATAAATGTAAGCATAAATCTTAGTATGTTCCCTAATATACCACATATTTCATCATACATACAATGCACCCGTGTTCTAAAAGGCACTCCATGGCGTGAGGCATGGCTTCGCTGTTACGAAAAGCCTCATAACATTGCTGTTAGGTGTGACACATGACAAGGCGTGATATGGCATGCCATGGTTTGTTAATCTTGAGGCTTGGGCTTGCTGCCACGCCATGCCTTACGCCATTTAGAACATTGCAACGCATATAAGAAATTGTTCAACTCTAGCATCATACTGCCAACTCTCCTATCAACATAATGACGATGTACATAAGAGCTATACTCATTAACACATATTATTTGAATGATATGGCCCCCCATAGTCTTACGATCACTTCCATTGCTACAACCCCCACTGCAGCCTTTCTTACCATGGTTCCCACCATGGTCTTTTATGCATTTTCATGGTTCTTGCCATGGTCTTTCATATGTTTTCCATGGTTCTTGACATGATCATTCATACGATTAACCTGGTTCCTGCTATGGTCTTTCCTTACAATGCTATGGGCCAAATCTTGGTCATTCATAAAATACATAATGTGATATGTTGTTAGAGATCAGATAGACAGTCGAATAGATGGTCGGCTCTAAAGCAATAAATCAAAAAAGAACCATGCAATATGGCTTTAGACTAAGACTTCTCATGCTATCCAAGTTAATGACTTACAACACTCAAGTAGAGGGTAGGGTTTGAAGTTAAGAGGGTGTAGGCTAAAGAGAATCAACTTGGCCATATGTTAGAGGCTTTGAATATTGGGAAAATAGTAAAAATATTGGGCTTGGGCTGCAATAGTGTCACGCCCATGAATTTGAGCAAGATTTGTTAAGTAATTTTAGTAATAATTACACATTTTATTGAGTAATTAAAATCCTTGAATATGATAATTGTTCGTTGTACGCATTACAAACAATATAATTATTTATTATACACATATGGCGTGGAAAATATTATGCATATATAATATTTGTATAAACTTTTTTTTATTATATTTATCGATGAGCGATAAAATAACGTTATTGATAAAATACTATTTAGGATAAATATCCTGGATGAAAGTTGTAGTACCTTAGATGACAATTATGTGGTTATAAAGAATCCCTAAATCTATCTTCATATGAACAAGTTATGATTTTTTGAAGTTTTGGCGTGACACAGTACAACCGTGTGTGACAAAGAAATCGAAACTAAATGACGATCGTTAAACAAAACAATGTAAACGAGAGTTGAAGATCTCGTAAATACATATCTGTCGATATAAAGACATTCGAGAATATAACGACCAAAAATTCCACATAATTTAAATATTTCCAAACAATTCATTTAATAAAATTATTACAAAAAGGTTTTTAATACATTACTTATCAGAATATTCCCAGGTCCATTTCATAAAACATAAACACGAGGAACGGTACGATCACGCCTTTGCCTTGCCACAGCCTCCTGAAGAACCTGAAAAACATTAAACCACAACTATAAGCCCGAAAGCTTAGTGAGATACCCCCAAAATACCAACCACATATACGCACTTCCAAGCCACGACCTTTCGGTCCAAAACATATTGCCTTCCGGCCCATAACATAAAAAGCATACATAACATAATAGAACATACAACAGCCATGCATATCGGGTCAAACTCCAATCTAAACAACCCTGTGCACATAACATTCAATCATATAACATTTCGCAGTCAACAAATCGATCAAGCAGATCACATAACATATCATTACCCTAACCAGGATACCGACCTAGCCGATCATGAGCATATATCACCCTACGTCTCAGTCAAAATACTACTTACACACATACGCCTTTCCAGACCATGACCTTATGGTTCACATAACGTAGAATGCCTTCCGGCCCATATCATAATGCCTTCCGGCCCAT